TGCAATAAACTCCTAGCATAGCAACTCCGCAAGTACGGATCTCTGACTTATTACATTTTCCCGGTCCATTGCTCTCAAACTACTCTGCCTCACCTGAGAAAGCTACAAAGATATGGTATATGCAGATGAGTTACACGCCCAGAGGGACACAATGTTCCACAAAGAATGCAGGCAAAAAGTAATTAATTAACGAAAATTACCAATTAACTTTCTAATTGTTAGCTTTAGCACACACTTTTGTACTGTGAAATTAGAGTTCCTTAAAGTTTAAGGCTGGGACTAGCCTTAAACTATTATAAAATTCTGAATCAAACGCGTGGTTTGAGATATCCGTCCCCAAAATTTGCTGTGGAAACCAGCTTGAAGCCAGCCGATGCCTAAACCAAACGCGCGAAGCCCGCCGGAAGGACAACCCCCTTTACACCGGAAAGGCACGTGTCAATGGCGATATTTGCGTCACTATTTTATGAGACAGCATGCGGGAGCTGATGACAGTCGGCATTCCGCGGCCAGGCGGAAAAAGTGATAAGTCACCTTAGCGGCCATGACAAGTTGCTTTGCTTGGGTCGCGGTGCCGATGACGAATGGTTTCTTGAATTATTTGAAAACGTTGAACGGCCTCAAACCACGAGAAATAATTGAAGAGCGATACATTTCTTGGAATATGAAACTTACATTCACTCAAAACTGCGGCCAGAACATAATTTTAGTTCTGCTTCCAAGATTTCAGCGTGATTGTCAATCCGTAGTCGTCCTAGTGCAAGGACAGCTTCTTGACTTCACGTTACGTTTCAATGCCGTTAGCGTGCGACGGACTGGTGCACTTGTAGGCTTAGGTGCCCTATCTTCAGCGTAACACCGCACAGTGCTGCGATTTGGCTTCTCCATTGAACTTAAAGTGAGCTGTGCAACTATTTTAACGTTGAAAGAATTGCCATCTTTTACTTTTGACATTGTTTATCTTCTCACAAAGGACAGAAAGCACATATTCTTTCTTCGAAATGCTTCGATTCCGCCGCGTAATCGCGAGGCAAAAATTATATTTCCCGACCTGGCAGCCGCGAGCGGCGGCCATGGGAACCACGCGGCGAGACGTCGAAGGGGGACTTGTAAAAATACAGGAAGTTGTGCGATTACCTGCTCGATAAAAGGTAATTTTTTTATAAATCTTCTTGTTCCAACATAAATATAAATCTGTCAAAAAACTGGTATCATATACAAAACTTTTTTTTATACGGAGTTTTAGTGGCGCCATCTATCTGAGCTCAACAAAACCATCAGCTCTATCTGCTACAGCGAACAGCCGCCAGAAGTCGGAGGGGGACGGAGGCAGAGCCGGACGGGGATGGCCGGACCCGGACGAGCACGTTGGCACTTTCCTCCTTTCGCCATGTTGGTAACGCTGCGCAAGCACATGATTGCGAACGGGTGAGTTCTTGCTGCTCATTGATGGCTCTAGAGAGAGAGCTTCGCCGGAACCCCGCGCGTTCTCCTTTCACGTTACAGCGCACGTGACTCGGAGGATGCTGAAGAAGTTGAGAGGTGCCGAAAACCTCAAACTTTGTCCATTTTTAAAATAAAAACTAGGGCATGCCGGCAAAAGCGTTTTTTGTTCTTTACTTGAGAAAGGTTCAGATACCAACTCCAAAATTATTTAAGCAGAGCACTGAAATCGTTACGCAGCTCATTTAAGTAACTGAGTCGTAGAAAAAGTGTACATGGTTTAGCGTACTCTGAAATGAACGGCAAATCTCGTTGGCCGCACGGTTTTACGCTTCTCGTCCCCCGCTCCGTCCGGTTCTGACCCATACAACGATTGCGAACATTTCTGCAAGGTTCCGGAGGACTGGCTCTGTGCACTGGAGAAGGTGTCTACAGGCCGTAATCGTAAATAATTATATCAAAATTGATGTCATCGCATATGTGCGAGTCCATCCCAAGGCCAGCACCCAATAGATAGCACCTGAATGCGGAAGCAGCGTGACATCAGTGTGCAAGGTGCTTAGGAGGCATACCCTCCATCCGTACTACGTGTGTCTTCACCAAGACCTCACCGAAGCGGACTTTGAGAAGCGGCTGGAATTTTGCAATTGAGCCCTCATTAACGGAGACGATGACAAGGATTTTCTTCACGAAATGATTTGGACCAATGAGGCGAAATTTTCGCGCTACGGAGATGTTAATCTACACAACTCACATTACTGATCAGACCAGAACCCGCATTGGATGCGACAACGTAACCATCAGGTTCGTTGGTGCTTTAACGTCTGGTGCGGCATCTTCGGCAACAGGATTATAGGACCTTACTCCGTTGAAGGCAACCTCACCTATAAGAGCTACACAGAGTATGTCTTGAATGGAGTCGTCGAGGAATTTGCCTTCAACTTGCCACTGGAAGAGTTGCGGAAAACATGATACCAGCATGACGGAGCACCACCCCATTTTTCGTCTTGTGCTAGAAGGTTGGCTTGGTCAGTACTTCGGAGATAGGTAAGTTGGGAGCGCCGGACCTATGTTTTGGCCCCCATGATCTCCCAGTTCGACACCTCCTGATTTTTTTTTTTGTCAAAGCTTTAGTTTATGTAACGGAACTTCATTATATCACGGACCTAAGCAAAGACTCGTTGATGGGGGTACAAGCCCCAGTTTAGATGAAGTACACCGAACCATCCGTTCAATGCACAAGCGTTGTATGGCTTGCATTGCGGTGGAAGGAGGGCACTTTTAGCACTACCTTTAAGCTTGCCTTTCAGACAGGTGCGTTTTAATTTTGAATTTTCGTTGCTGCTAAATGTTAAAGATTTATGGTCAATAAACTAATCTTTAGCTGTTCATGTTTTGTCCTGGGGATATTTTTGTATGTGAGCGGAACACAATTGTTCTAAAGCATTAAGGTTTACCGCAGTGGCTGCAGCCGAAGGGGCTATAGCGTCTGTGGTTTGTCATTCTACGCGCGAAGCTTCCTTGTCAGATATGCCTTTATTGTTCCCGTGCTGCAAACACCAATCCAACATTCAATTTTTCTGGAGTAGCGTAGGTTAAGGTTTATTTACTTTACTTACACATTGACTCGCACCAATAATTAAAACCATTCGTCATTGATACCGCGCCGCAAAGAAAAGCAACTTGTCATGGACGCTAAGGTGGCTCACGTTTTCCGACTAGCCGCGGAACGCCGACTATGACCAGCTCCGACATGCTGTAACTTAAAATAGTGACGCAGATATTGCCATTGAAACGTGCCTTTTCAGACTAAACAGGGGTTGTCCTTCCGGTGGGCTTCAAGCGTTTGGTTTCGGGATCGGCTGGCTTTAAGCTGGTATCCAGAGGAAACCTGTGGGATAGATATCTCCACGCGCTTGATCTAGAATAAAAATAAAGGAATTAGCCTTACACGTTAAGCAACACTAATTTCACAATACAAACATGTGTCCTAAAGCTAATGATTAAAACGTTTAATTACATTTTTTGTTAATTAGTTGCTTTTTTCTGCATTCCTTCTGGAATATTATGTCCCCCTGCCGGTGTAACTCATCTGCAAAACCGTGTCTTTGTAGCCTCCTCGGTTTCTTTAAAAAAATGTAAAGAACAAAAAAACAAGGAACCTGTATATCCATTCGCTGAAAATAAGAGCGCGCAATCGTTTTTAGCTAATTATATTGATTATGTTTAACTTACTTCTTAGCGTGAGAGGTATAGCTCAATTTTCATTTCAGTTTCCGCCTAATGGTCATAACCGATGGAAAACTGGAAGTTACTAACATTCACTCGTCGCACCACCTCGTCTAATTTTTCTTACCAACTAGGTATCAATAGCATATTGGTCATTGCACGTCATGTAAGTACCTAGGACCTTACCTGAGCAGCAATCTCATATGGAGCAACCACATTAACGAACGTAGACGGGCGCTGGAATAAAGACAGGGAAAAGAAGTTGACCCAAATACTGGCGCCAATGTTTACGTCAACTTCTTGTCCCTGTCTTTATTTCGGCGCTTGTCTACGATCATGAACCAACTGGCCCAAAATGCCACATAAACAAACTAACGAAGTTGTCCTAAAACTTCAAACGTAACCAGAGACTCTGTTCACCCGAAATGAAAAGACAATCTTCCACAAGCCTTGTATGGTCCCAACAACAATACGTATCTTTGATTTGGTCACCATTTCAAAATTATCTTTATAACGAACTAGGAAAAATTCGAAACAAGTACTGAGGTGCATTTACTCCGAATATTCTTTTAATGGAAGTACCACTTAACTTTGCTACGTTCTAGGCTCATAACACTTTCGTTTTGTCGAAGGCTATCCCGACTTGTCCTCATTCATAAAATATATTATCACAATTCTCAGATGAAAATGGTCTTTCTCATGATTCAAAACCCCCGAGACTGCAGGTAACGACATACACACTCTAAAATCTCACTTGAGACCTTTGGGTGCGTGTCGTTACCTGCAGTCTCGGTTTTCTTTTTAATCATGTTGAATGTACGTCAGCTCGTTTGTGTCCTGACATTTATTTCATTGGTCTTTCTAAGCGCCCCAGATCGAGTTTCCGCTAGGGTTGACCATGTGTGTAAAATCAGTTTCATCCACACTCGTCCTGGTTTTTCCCGAATGCCTAGCTACCTCTTGTTATAGAAATGAACACCTGTTAGTTTTGTGAACTTCTCAGTGCTTTCTTGGATCAAATGAACAAGTCATAAAATTGTTTAGCGATTCGTTAACTTGTTATCGCCATTTAACATCTCTACCATCTTTTTTTTTCCTTCTTTTTTTTTTTTTGTTGGCTATAAACGGTATTTAATTACCCTTTGTTGGGAAGTACATGGAAACGGGTCCTCAAAGTACATAAATAAAATTAATGTAATGAACAGTGGCATTACATAGGCGGAGAAGGAAATTAGAATGCACTGACTTACACAAAAAGCAAAACAACTTAAAATATTCTCGACGCATATATTTTTAAATAATGTTGGTGTAAAATAAATCTTGCTTACCTAGTGTATGGTGTTGTACTTAGATCGGTCCAGGAGACGCTTCGCTCGACGGAGGTTGAACCATCGTTTCTTACAAGGTCGCTGATAACACAGGTTATTTTTTCTAATTCTTTCAATAACGGTATATACTTCAGGTATAAGCGGTCCGCACTTTTGAGGAACTGTGAAAGATATTTTTTTGGAGTATTTAAGCACACGTTTTATTTTGTTGCAACGAATCACTATTACACTTTAATTTAAGTGTACTGATATTTATTATCGTTGTCACAGTAAGAAAAAAAAAAGTTTTGTGCGTTTTTCACACGATGCGCGAAGTTGTGATTATACAATTTGGTTGTCGCGCGAAGAAACAATGGTTTTGCCATTTGAAACGTATACTTCTTAATAAACCAACAAATGGCTGTTCTAAAATGCACCAAAATATATTTTAATTCACCTTGTCAGATAGGACATTATTAAAGCTCTGCGAGGAGCCAGAATTTGTTTTTACTGCGATTCTTTAGGTGAATGCGAGTATAGAACCCCTATAAAAATGTCGATAATAATAAAAAAACTTCATGAAAAATAAACAATAGCATATACAGAGAAATACTAGTTTTAAAAATTACATTTTACTTTTTTATGTATTACATCCTAATTGCTAGCTGAATAAAGAGTGGTATAGAGACGACGTCACACGAAGAAAATTAACACTTTTCGAAAGGGTTAGAAAGCTAGCGGCACAGGCAAAACACGTACAGGAACCGATTTTCCATAAAAAGACAGAATATACTATAACAAAGAAATTGGGTTATGATTAAATTGTATTGCGAAATACCGGGGGGTTTAGCGAAGACTTTCAAAACTGAATAACATTAACGTGGTCAAAAAAAAAAAAAGAACCTATCTGGGGACAAACCACCAGCCACAGCAAACCACCAGCCCATAACTAACACCCACAACAAACCACCAGCCCATAACTAACACCCTAATAAGTGTAGCAATAGACCTTATAAAAAAATGTAAAACTCACACCTTTAAAAATGTGTGCTTTTTTAAACACGTTTCTTAAAATGTGTGATAATGCACCACACCTTTTTATAAAGATGTAAAACTGCAATACCCCTCCTCGTCAGGCACGTAGCCGGGAAGGGGGGTGGGGGGCATAAGGCCTGCCCCCCCTCATAGAGCACATTGTCATGGGCGGGCCCCCCTCCCCCCCCCCCCCCCCCCCCCTTAAACAAAATCCTGGCTACCTGCCTGCTTCTCGTCAAGGTGTAATTACCACAGTACATTTCTTTTTTGGGGTGTAAACAGTGGCCCGGGACCCAATAAAATGACTGAACAAATAAATTACACAAACGAGTCGCCAAAACAGCACGTTGCTTCTTAGCGAGTGTCGAGGCAATTTCGGCCGAAAACTGGCTTCGATATTGGCCGGATGTACGGTTTTGCGCCTCGTCCCGACATCCGGCAGGTATGGGTGTACCGATGCAAATAAACGATTTATGTCTAATAGCACTGGCACCACTGATTTCTTAGGAGGCTAGATCGCGGATAGAGGCCTGTATTGCTGGGGTCGAGCGGCACCACCGGCAGTCATCGCTTGACACGAACTAATGCATGCTATAGGAGAAACAGGAAATCTCAATTTTATTACGTTAGTAAGTTGTTCTCGATCATGAAACTTCTATTGTGTTTCCGAAAATAACGGTTAATATTGTGGGCAAGAATATTAAATGCGTTAGAAAACCAATCTTGTTTAAATGAATGTTGTATGGTTGAGGGTGGAGGGCGACTTTGTTGGGCGTTAACTGTGATGTGTTTAATGAGACAAGGGCTACTGAGAGTTATTGTGGAGTCATCCGTGATCTCGGAGTCATCAGAGCTCAGCAAAGGATAAGTTAGAAGGTCTTTACTGGGGACATTCGCATCGTCTTAACTGCGTGTACATAGTACTGCATGGTGAAAGCTTTTTCTTGGAACTGAAACTGAAACTGAACCTTGGAGCGTGCCGTTCATTCGCTGAACGTGCCATTTATTTAGCAACCGAAGCAAGCGACGTCGGTAAAGTCGGTAGTGCTCCGGCCCATTTTTTCTTTTTGTAAATCGATGTTCGAATGTTTGACGAATGTCTATTTGATCTCCAAGCACCCGATATAATCATCGCAGCACGTCATAAAAACTCGCCCTCGAGTACCGCGTACAAGCTTCCTATTTTTGCGTGTTTCTCCCCTAGACTTGCGTGTATTGCCTCATAATGTAATATGCCAAAACAACAAGGACGAAAATGAAGGGAGAGCTAATCAGGACGCGGCGTATTGCCTGTTGTCAAGCAATGGCCGCCGGTGAGGCCAGTGACGGGCTCCCGAAACGCTATCTAGACTTGCACTGTGAGAGTTCTAATGCATTGCACCCGCGGAGTGCTGCACGGAGAACAGGCCCCGGACGAACTAACCGAATGCACCGAGTGCAGACTGATGCTGTCGCCGTAGGTGTTGTAGAAGAGTACCGACCTCAAACCAGAACTAGCGCCTTTTTGTTCGGCGTGATGGGTGGGAATGCGAGAGCGCCAGTCGCTGCCATCGTTTATCTATAAACGTTGGTTGCTGCAACGTGTAACTTATATTTGCGATGACTTCCAATTAAGGAACTCGGCCGTCAGAGATATCTACAGACGGCGTAAGTTGCCGAAACCAGCTGTCTACAAATCAGCATACACTTGAGAAAATTGATGGCAGTGTACGCGCAAGAGCTTGCTTCGTTTTAAGCATAGTATTATGAGTGAACCACTGAAAGGATACGGCTTAAATGTAGTTCTTTGGAACATCCAGCAATACGTTTCGTAAGACTTTTTGATTTCCTGGTGAGGGCATTGAGAACGAGAGCTTTCTCAAACAAAATACGACGGAGCAAAGTAGCTGCCGATCAAATATGACTTTGCTTGAGCCTCGGGCAACGTCTCCATGTTTAGCCTTCCCGGACGCTGAGTGAATGCGTCACAGGTTTCTGCTGTGGGAGCTTTGTCGAAAAATGTTCCACTTTTAACCCGCACACAGATGATGCGAGATCTAGCGGCCTCTGTGGTTGTCCTGGGCCTATCATTACACACTGGTAGGTTTGAGCGTCTGTTCGGCAACAATGCGACTCAAATTTTGCAAATAAAACACGGGTCGTCCATTCCTCCCATCGCGAAATAGCGAAATATCAGGCGCTTACAATTGAAGCTCGCGTTTGAGTTTTTGGCCCGCGGGACGCGATTTCGAGCAGAAAACTCACTTTTTCTTTCAGTTCCGCTGTGCTAATGCCGCATCGTAGCAGACGGATTCTCGTCGTCTGCTCTCGCTCCTCGCCTGGGCGAGGCATGACGGGATTGTCGGCGCTAGAGAGCTCAAAGAGAACGTACAGCGAGCGGCGTGAACGCTCGCCTCCCCGCGCTGACTCGTGCTCTCGTGCACCGCCTAGGGATCGCGGGGGTTTTTCGTCAAAGGTTGCGAAGTTGAGCGCCAAGGTGCACTGCCAAACGAAGTTGAGCGAAGTTGAGCTACCCAGGTGCATTGCAAAACTTAAAAGCTTGCCTTTCGAGGCGCAACAACGGGAAAATACCTAGACAAACTTGATGTGAGACGAACGCCCGATTGCCTCCAACCAAATGGCTTGCACATTTTTACTTGTGTAGGTATCTTCGCTACATTAAAACCATGGTCGCAATAGGAAGTTTTCATTAGACACCATAGTTTAGGCGATGTTTAGAGCGCAGGCTCACAACGAACTCACATTAATGGGCTGCTAAGACCGGCAATCTTGATGGTGCGGAATGCCCGTTGCAAAAGAACTGTGGAAGCTCGCCGTCAACACGCGCTGAGCTGTCACGCACACAACTATGGCCGCCAGTGAATACTCCCTACAGACCTTTTGCTAAATTACGCATGCATCAAGAAGAATGCAGAGAATGGTGTTCCACGCGCCGCACGTGCTGGCATCAGCAGTGGTTACTTCTTTAAAGCAAATGCCGAAAACAAACAGCATCTTGCACGCGCGTTTGCTAGCGCTTAATTTTGGTTATATACTTCAAATCTTTTATACGGGGAAGGTGTGCGCGTGTGGCGCGTGGAAGACCATTCCCTGCGTTATTCTTGGTGCTTTGGTAATTTAGTAATAGGTCTATTACGACGGTTGCACAATTTACAGATGAGTGGGGCCGCGTTTACGCGAACCAACGTTTTTATTCAACATCAACACGCGCAAAGAAAGATATCAATCTAGATCGATCAAAATAGTTGATCTGGGACGCAAGGCTCATACCAGTACCTCTACGAACACAAGCATCTTTACATGGCTTCCGAAGGCGCGTACCTGCGGCACTTGTTTATTGCAAACTACGTCGGTTGAGGAGATCTTGCTCTAAACACCTCTGTGAACGCAAAACCATTCGCACACATAACAAATGACGACCTCAATGAGTTTGGTTCGTTCAGCCCTCCACAGTCGCCGCCAGCCATATTTGTTAACGTTGCAAGCCAAAGTGGGAGAAGCAATCTCAGAATACATTGAAACACAATAATGCCTCTATCTTGATTATTTGCTTCTGAAACATAAATTACATTATCGATTAAAATACTATTACGGGACGGAGATAAATATTTACAACCAACCTTTCACACGTCAATCATCTTTCCAGCCAATGAAAGATGTAAGCACTTGTAAGCACGGGGCGGGGCTTAGCCGGGCTGCGACCTCCACCTTCTCCATCTAAATTACGTCTAACAACGTAGATATACTGCGATTTTGTTTCTTCATGGAAATGTTATTATAGAAGGTACGTTTTCCATTTACGCCCTAAAAAACAATTTTCCTTGCAGTGTCCTTTTAAATTAATAGAGAGTTCGATATTTTAATCAAAATATGTTATTTAACTATAGGCCTATTTACTAGCTATAACAACCGTTATAGCACACTACATCCAGAAGGAGATAAAGTCAAAACAATGCAGGGTGCAACCAGATATGCACAGTCATAGGGAGTGTCAAGTAAGGTTTTCTACAATCGATGAAATTTTTATTTGAGGCAGCAAAGCGAATTCACACAACTGGACGGACCTTATTTTTGCAAAATTTTGTTAAATAATATCGGAGTCCTTCTGCATGACCAAGAGAAAACATGAAAGCAGACTAACACAGTT